AACATGCAAAAAGGCTTGTTTTGTTAAAATAGGTTTGACACTTGCCCTATTCTAGAAATCCTCAGTGAGATACTGAAGGGACTGAACAGAGTTCAGGACTATTTGGATGACCTCTGTTAGAGAAGAAACAGGCGACCCAGGAGCGGATGGGGTAAAAGGAACTGCTTTATTGCCCATGGATGTTTATACAACACAATGTCCGAGTGGCAACAACCTGGTGATGATTATACCTTTTTATCTATTTTAGTATGTTAAAATAGTCTGTCTATTTTTCCTAAATCCTTATTTAGTAATGTTAACTCCCATAAAATAAATATTAATAAGCAAATAATGAATACAATTATACCCACCCCAATTACTATTTACAGAATTTCTAATTAAATCAACACATTCCTATGCTACAACCTAACAGGTAATAGGGTATGTCTACACTACCCCGCTAGTTCGAACTAGCGGGGTAATGTAGGCATACCGCACTTGCAAATGAAGCCCGGGATTTCAATTTCCCGGGTTTCATTTGCATAAACTGGGCGCCGCCATTTTTAAATCCCTGCTCGTTCGAACCCCGTGCCGCATGTAGCCACGCGGCACGGGGTTCGAACGAGCAGGGATTTTAAAATGGCGGTGTCCCGCTTATGCAAATGAAGCCCGGGAAATTCAAATCCCGGGCTTCATTTGCAAGTGCGGTATGCCTACATTACCCCGCTAGTTCGAACTAGCGGGGTAATGTAGGCATACCGCACTTGCAAATGAAGCCAGTAATTTGACCCTGAAGATATGTTATACAGAGCCAATGAGGATAAGCAAGAGACATAACAAAATAGAGCAGTTCCATACTTGTCTGGTCTCCTGGGCTACAAGAATGAAGAGAGAGAACATGTTTATACATCAGAAAGGATCATACTGGTTTTGATGAGACTCTTAATCTATCTTCTCAAACTACAAAACAAAAGGAAAAAGCATGTTTAAAGGGAAAGGATCAAGACCATCTTCAAAATGTCAATGATGTCTTGCATTGTTTGGAAGGCTATGGGCTGAAAATATATCATGATATAAATATGAGTTTTTCACTTCTTCAGTTGAATATCTTGGACATGTAATTGATGTGACAGGCTTTAAAAAATTGCCAGAGCAAGAGAAGGCAGTTTTTCAAGCACCATGACCAGCCTATATGTCACAGTTACATTCATTCTAAGAGAGACGTAGCCATGTTAGTCTGCTTAATGGTGATGTTAAATTTCTGCTTAATCTGGTGACAATATTGGAACCTTTACATGACCTGTTACAAGTCTATTCAAAATGACCAGAAGTTTTCAGTGATTTCTGCACTACAGCTCCCAAGACCATTGGTCATCTTTGTACTTTGTGTAGCCTGTTTGGTTTATTGTTCTAGTTAGTGAATTACAATAGATCTCAATTCTGCTCTGAAGAATTTCAGCAGTTCCTAGCTCCAAACAGAATTCAGCACTTATTATACTCAGAGCCAATAGCCTCATTGGACCCCTGGGCAAGGTGGGGGAAGGCTGGCTCCATGCTCTGAGAAGTGATGCTCTTAAGCAAAAGGGGTGAGGCTGGGAGCAGCCAGCCCTCGGTGCTACTTGGACTGCAGTGCACCCCCAGCCCTCACTGCTTCCTGGAGCACACTACAGAGCACTCTGGCGGTGATTTAAAGGGTCCAGGGCTCTGGGTGCCACTACTGCTGCATTAGTAAGAGTGGCAGCTGGGAGCCCGGGGCAGTTGCCCCTTTTGCCTCCTGTCTCCAATCAGCTGGCCTGTGCTCAGCTCCTTACCATCCCTCTATAAGTGGTTTAGTAGAACGTTTTGTAGAAACACTTCACGTGTTTATTCTGAGTATCAGCAGAAATTGGACAATTTCTTGCTTATCTAAAGGAATCCTTCATCTGCAGCTACCAGGAGTTATCTGCCACTCGTGAAGCAATATTTACATATCTTTTGGGACCTGCTGGGTCCTGATATTGCCGTACATGCATCCAAATCAAAAGCCTTGCAGATTTATTGGCAACATGAGTCTTGTCATCGTTTTTTTTCAAGTTGAAGACAGTGTGGACTCACAATCAGAGTTGTGGAGTGAAATGCATACCTGGTGAACTTGTAAAATCCACGGTGGGAGGAGAGGTTGTTTGTGGTAAAACTATCCAATGATATTATGTGAAATTAAATACAGACCAGTTGCAGCCTCAACTAATACCAGAGTCTGAGGATGTGCCAGGAGGAACCTTCTGTTCCTTCAATCAAACCTCCTTTCATTACAAGTCCTAGTTTTGATGACTTGGTGGAAGAAACTGTGGTACCAAATCCAGTTGATTCACTACCACCAACTGTTCCTGTTGTTCTGGACACTGCTGTAACACCATTGTCACATTATCCCAAGAGAGTGTGTAAACCAGTTGTGTGCCTGAACCTGTAAATTGCTTGATTACTGAGTTGCTATTCCAGGCAGAATAACTTCTTGCTATTTAAGAGTCTGAATTACCCCACCTGCAGCTTTTAGTTAGTTTATAAAATGTGTTCTGTTCGTCATGTAAACAATAATGTATATGGGTTTAAAAAGTTTTTTAAAGCATGGTGGAGACATGTGTTGTCTTATCCTTTAAATGTTCAGGGGACTCTATACTCTCCCTTCCCCCATTGCAAAGTCTCACTTTCAGTTTTGCACCCGGAGTAATAAAGCCACCGCAGCAGACAGCTATATTTCCATCAGCTCCCTCTGTGTCTATCTCCTTCTCTGCTGGCTCCAGAAATATAACACCCTCTTTGTGCCACGGGTCACATTAGTTCTTTTGGCCACAGCATCACACTAGGAACTCGTGTTCCGTTGACTACCCTCCACAATGTCCCAATCTTTTCCTGTCACTATTTTCCAGGATAGTGCCCCACACTGTGTAAGTATGGCCTACGTTCTTTTTTCCTAAATATATACATTTACATTTAGATATATTCAAATGTATGTTGTTTGCTTCTGCCAGATTTACCCAGGTTGATCTGTATCAGTGTATCTTCATGATTACCTGCTTCTCAGATTTTTTTTGTTATCTGTGAACTTTATCAGTGATTATTTTGTTTTCTTCTAGTCATTGATAAAAAATGATAAATGGCATAGGGCCAAAAACTGATCCCTGTTGACCCCTGTGGGACCTTATTAGAAATACACGTGCCAGATGATGATTCTCAGTATACAGTTATGTTTTGAGGCCTATTAGACAACTTTTAGTATTTTAGTGTGTGCCATCTTCATTTTACATTGAGTTTTTTAATCAAATTGTCATGTGGTACCACGTCAAGTGCCTTACGGATGTCTGTTACTATTATCTATAACAACTGAATTTGTAAGATCATTTAAAAAAGGATATCAAGAGCTTTATGTAGCATGAAAGCTTATGTTTTCCACCAACAGAAGTTGGTCCAGTAAAAGATCTTACTTAATCTTCTTTGTCTCCATCAAGTTAGTTTGACAACATCTATTTCCCAAAAACCCATGTTGATGGACATTAATCATATTAGGATTATTATATTATAATGCATATGATAAAGAATTAAAATAGAGTAATATAATTGTTAATTGGGTCCCTATCAGCCACTCCTGGGGTCAAAGTTAGACTGCAGGACTATACCTGGGCCATCCCATTTGTCCTTTTTAATTATTGTGACAACATTTGCTTTCTTGCAGTCTTCTGTAACTTTCCCAGTGTCCAAGATATGCTGAAAAAGCAACATTAATAGTCCAGTAAGTACCTCAGTCAGCTCTTTAAAAACTCTTGGATGTAATTAATCCAGACCTACTGATTTTAAAATGTTTATCTTTAGTAACTGCTGTTAAACATTCTGTGATACCAGTGGACTGGGAAGAGTGCAATCATCCTCATATGATGAAAGTACATCATCTTTTTTCCTCAAATAAAGAACAGAAATATTTATTGAACATTTCTTCCTCATCCGTATCCTTATTGATTATTTTATCGTTTTCATCTAGTGACGGACTGATACCATTGTGAGAATTCTCTTTGCTGCTAGTATAATTTTTAAAAATTCATAATTAAAAACTCCTATATTTAATTTGCCAAGGAAGCTCTTTTCTTAACTACAACCATTTATACATGCCTTCTGCCGTTCATTGCTGATGTTTTCCTCATGGACTTCTGTCTGTCTGACCCTAATATAACTTCTTTTCATGTCTTACCAAAACACCACCAGTATTCTATTCAGAACTGTTAACTTTTGGGTTAATTTTGGATGTCCCACAGCCTTAAGATATTTAAGAGGGTTCAGATTTGACTCTGATTCAGTTGATCAATGTTATCACCAACATTTCTTTTAAAAGGCAAGGTTTGCATTTATAGCACTCCAGATGTCAGTGGAATGAACATAAACGTGCAGATGCCTTATAGTCAGGCAAATTGTCCAAATGTATGCAAATGGGTGATTAGTTTATATGAATTGTCTGGTTTTTTTGAGTGAAGATGCTTAAATCATCCTCTTTATTTGTGGGGGGAGGGAGAGGGTCAGGTGTTAGACTTGGTGGAAGTTGTAGTTGTAATGACCTGGGCAAATAATGTCCCAGGTAAATGTGGTAAATTGTACATAATTAAAGCTATTGCTGGCTTGCAATTTAACTCAGGATTCTCGAGAATATCATCAGAGTGACATTATTAATTCATACCCCTTATGTTATGGACTGTATTAATCAAACTTCTACTTGCACAGCAGTATTTGGATTATTCTGCAAATCGTTTCATGTCTGGCCATGGGCATTATCTGCAGAACAGTGATCTCAGCTAATGATGGAGAGGCATGAATATGTGTGTATAAATATATGAGAGTTAAGTAAAGTATATGTGGTACTTGCTTGTACATTTTAAATGTAAGCATAGAGAAGCATGGTCATTTGATAATATGAGGTTAAAAAAAACCCAGTTCACCGTGTCACATATGTTTCCAAATGGATAATGATCCTATACCTTTGCTCTCTGAATATGATCTAGGAGCAGCTGGGCTTCATGGAACCTTTAACGGTATGCAAGAAAATTTTCCCAAAGCCTGAAGTACTAAATGGAAGAGGTTCAGTATAAATCCATCATTGGAGGTGCTCACTCACAGTCAATCAGTACAAAATTGCACCCAGGTAAGGGAATTGCTCTGATATTATTTCTGGATAATACATCTTAATACAATTATTTGCCATCCACTGGTTGCTAATGAAAAGCTTTGATCATTCCAAATTAACATACTGCATATTACTTTCATCTTTTATATCCCTTTATGCTGTTGGAATACTAGTCCTTGCTTGCCACAAGGTTTAAGATTATTTATTGTCGAAAAAAAATCTTTTATTAAATAGCTTGTTTGGACCTGTGTGTAAGGGCCATGTCTCTGAATAACATGAAGGACTTTAGATCATTTTAAATTAACTGGTCCCTGTGAAACCCTTTGGTGGTCAATGCATGGGAGATTTGTCATTTAAATTAATGTTAATAAAAATGATTTGGATAAATTCTTTGATTAGCAATGAGATAAGAACACCTTTCTTTTTAGTTAAATCTCATTGTGTAATATACTGTAACATTGTTAACAAGTTATTAAGGAGACTATAAAATTGTTAGACAAATGTCCTTGTATTTCTACACTTGTTAAATGATGTAGAAAACCCACATCATAAACTCCCTGAAAATGCAACAATATAGCAGTACGTAAATCTAATTTACAAATGTAGCATTTATTCACGTAGGTAAGGTTGTACAAACCAAGTTATACAACTCACCCCTTAGAAAAACCATTTCACAGGAGTTCACACTAGCAGTTAATATCTTAGACTGTGTTTAGCAATATTTTACATCTGTAGATATTATGCCCTGGGTTTTATACTTTTCCCAGACAAAATTCACAATTCAAATATGGCTCTGTGCTAATGGGATTTTGGTTCCCCAGCTAAGGAAAAGTTTTAAACTCCAGTTTGTAATCATCATTTTTTCGAGTGAAGGTTTATGTGTGGACTGTGGATTAAAGCATTTTATTACATGCTGGCTGGGTTTTATTATCTGAATAGATGTTTTAGCCTAAGCAGGTCAACTACCAAAGATTTAACTGCATGAAGAATGGGAAACAGCATTTATTTATGTGGTAGGTTTGTTATATGATATTGCTGCTTCACTTCCAGCCAAACACTGAATGGAGAGTAGGGTACATGGTATCCAAAGTCAACATCCAAGCTAATCCCACTCGTTACATTCTTTGTTTCAATAGATGCAAGGGTTGCTTTAAAAGACATAAATCTAGTCAGCAGTCAGGATGACGAGAACACAGTGCATTCTCAGCTGGTCACAAACCTCTGAGACTCTGAAGATGTTACAAATAGAAATGGGCTGAACATGTCTGGAAATAGCTGGAATAGTGGTGAACATTGGGCATTTGCTGGCTTGTAAGCGATGTGGGCACCCATTCTCCATCCATGTCAGATTGCCAGAATGTAGTTGAACTGATCTGGTTTGGACTGAATTGGTAAATGAGGGGGAAAGCAGAGAACTGTCAGATTCAAATGAGCAAGGGCCCAATCTTCCAGTGATTGAGGTTACTTTCTATATTACGAGCATTTTAATGTACCCATCATATAATGTTTTTGTAATTAATATAATATTTAGAATATTGTTTCTGGGGTTCAACTGCGTTATATGTAGAAAAATCTAAAATATGTAAGCTGCTAAATCCAGGGAAGGCATGTCTAAATACTGTATTCATCCATATACATACAATATCTCATTTAAGATTGTATTTGTTCTGCCTCTTGTCTTAAACACATTACATCATCCATTAGGATGGGAGTTGACATCTGATGCCCCACTGAGAATATCTTGTGCTTGGGTCCCAAAAGTTTTATCCTGGACATAAATAGCTTTACATCCCTGATTAGCTTAGAAGATGCCATGTCATAGTCCATTGATGGTCTTAAATATTAGGCCTCTAAACTAGAGCTAGTAGCAAATGAGAAGTGAGTGCTGGTCAGATATGTTATCAGTGGGTTTTTCTCCAACACCCTACACATCTAAATGCTCTGGGACCAATCCTTGGGTGTAATCAGCTGACATGAACTTCAGTTGAGCTACAGCGATTTATACCTGCAAATAATCTACCTCAATTCACTTTTTAACAGAAGAAACTTCAAAAGTGATATGAACTTTAAAAAAATAATGTTCTTTGTTAATACGAGCATTGTAAAGGAGAAGGTGTATCCGCTGGAGCCCATGGTTGAGAAGAAATGTCTTCACACAAGACCAAATCCTTGAGGAAGACCCAACTCAGCAGTGGTAAGTTCGGTAAGAATGAATGTCTAATTGCAAATAGAATATACCCAGGATCTTACTAGTCTCTCCTATTTGAATTTATCTTAATGACTTAGAGGTTTCTGTGTGTGGAATAAGAAGAAATTAAACTTTACTGAAATAAAGTGTCTGAAGCCCTCTAGGTGTTTCTAAACTGGTATCTTTTTTGAATAGAAGTGTGTCAATGGGACTGTTTGGAACACGTAAGGGCTAGTATAGGGTATTAAGATGTGTGAAATATGAGCTGATGAGAGAATGATAGACAAAGAGACCAGTGAGTGCAACTGAAAATGTGCTAGTGAAGTTTGAGTGGGAGAAAGTTGGTGTAATATTACTGTATGTTTGTTGACCCAAAAAGCCACTAACCCAGTTGTTCCACAAGACAGTCATTGTTTTCATAGGGACTATGTTTGTGAGATCTATATAGCTTGTTGAACGCTTCTAAAAGGAAGTGGGGAGGGGAAAGCTATTATATTGTTGATTTAATGTTGGATTGGGTAAAGCAGTAGAAAATATTCCATAGGGAATAATCATACATTGGGAGTCAGATGGAATAGGTTACATAACAGCAATCAAATTTCTATCATAGTGAATGATTTTATTATATTTTTTATTATCTGTATTACTGTATCACCTAGAAACCCTAATTTTATGATTAAGTCCTAGCTAAGTGCTCTATGATTTACTTATTATGTCTAAACCTGGGATGACACCATTGATAAATTTAGTTTACAATTTTTGCCTAACTTTTCAGCGAAACAGACATGCATTTTCTTGCCTAATTTGTGATTTTAATTACTATGATTGCATACGTAAATCAGAACATACAACTTCTCACATTTTTTGAAAATATAGGCCTTTATTTTTATCATTTCATTTTCTACCAAATATACAATGTTCTGTATCATTATATTAGAGTATATTTTAGTACCTTTTGCAAAAAAAAAGGGGCACAGAATTGGTATAATTCAGATATCACTGCTATATAATGTGACGAGAAAGTGTTTGTATGATAGAAGGTGCATGAAATCCTATACGTTTTAGTAAATACAAATGCACCTAGGAAGAACTATATTTTAAGTAATGATACTCTGAACAAAGCTAGTTACATTCTTGAATACTAGTTATCAAAAGACATTGATTAGCTATCTTGTATAATATGTGAGACAAAATAAAACTTTAAAGTTCAGCTTTGCACAAAAAACAAATAAATATGCATTGTCACTGTGTGTTAATCCCCCAAAGGCCTTGTTATATAGATAGACCTCTTAGCTATATTATAGCTAGTTCTGTATCAAATCTCCTGGATCAAAACTCCCTTCAGGCAGCAGGAGGACAGCACTCATTCAAATGTAAGAACATCTACAACTTTTCAGAGCCAGGTCCATTATAGCAGAGCCCTTGATTTAAGGTCTGTTTGTATGTTTCTTATTTATAACAAATATAGTATTTGAGACTGCTGTTAAATATCTGCCCATATTTGTCCCTAAATGGGACTGCTAAGTGGTACTAGTATACAAATGATTAATAAAAAGTATAGACATATGTGGGAAACAATCTAATAAAGGTCAGCCTCAAATTGGATACATGAGTTATTCTCATTGACTATAAAGGAAGCCTGCAAATGATGTGGTGAGAATTGAATGTGTGCTTGCTTTTAACAGTAGGCTCTTTTCCTTCTTGTTTTGTTTCTTTGCTTCTGAATTATTAAGAAAATCTCAGTTTTACAAAGATTTGTCTATCCAGAAGGTTGATTAGTGATTGAAGTTAAAGAGATATTAACTGAATTTAAAGTTTAGAGTCTGATCCAAATTCCTTTTCTTTGTCAAATGAGCAATTTTCACTCTTTGGGCCATTTTGATCTTGCCATTTTGGTAAGTCTCTTCTAGACATGCCAGATCTCAATCCTAATATAAAACAAGAAGTAGAAGAATATCACTTTCTCCCAAACTTTCAAACGTTCTTCATATATAAAGGAGCAAAAAAGACCACAAGCCCAATTTTATTTTCATTTGTAGGTCGCCTTTTTTTAAATCATGTGTGAAACCCTGTTGATTCTTTCCTGACTTACTGAAATTAAACAGATTGTCATCTCTATACAGTTCGGCTACGTCTACACTGGCCCCTTTTCCGGAAGGGGCATGTAAATTTCACGAGTCGTCGTAGGGAAATCCGCGGGGGATTTAAATATCCCCCGCGGCATTTAAATAAAAATGTCCGCCGCTTTTTTCCGGCTTTTAAAAAAGCCGGAAAAGAGCGTCTAGACTGGCCCCGATCCTCCGGAAAAAGCGCCCTTTTCCGGAGGCTCTTATTCGGGATATTTAAATCCCCCGCGGATTTCCCTACGACGACTCGTGAAATTTACATGCCCCTTCCGGAAAAGGGGCCAGTGTAGACGTAGCCTTCTTGTAACTTCAGCCAATAATGTTTTTTCACTATAGTTTTAAAAACAAATATGTGAATTAGAAATGAGATTCACAAAAATAAAAGAGTTCAGAGAAATAGAAAGACTTACTACCTATCTGAGGTTAGCATGGAAACATGAAGCATGTCCAAGGAAGTGATTAAAAACTAGATAATTATATATAACCTTTTTTACAGGACCAATACTTATTGTAGCTCATACTTCTATCCATCCAACTCTGCTGTATTCTGTATCCTCTATATATTATGCACTCTCTATTGAAATGTATGTAAAAAATCTGCTAGCAATTCTGCTTACCTTTAATTTAAAAGAATTAATAACTACACAGTAGGGATTTTTATTGTCTTGATTAAATTTTATGCATACACGTTCACAAAACACACATCCCATTCCACACTGTGGGGATGTCAAAGTGGAAGATCAGAATAATTCTGTGTGGCTGGTATTTCATGTATGAAATGCAGATAACCTCTTATTCTTCTGCCCTTTGTGTATAGAAATCAACATTAATAGTCTCAGTTGAGAAAGTAGTAGGCACTTAGCTATCCAAGCGATTCAACAATAATGCATTCAAGTTCCAGGTCAGAGTCAAATTGGGGAATGGCACTGTGATTCTTACTGGCCCACTGAGCTTGCTGTCCAGTAGCACAGACAGTATTCTCTGCATAGGTAAATAGATAAATACAAGGGGCAAAGTGCTTATCTGGTGAAACATGAGGCTCAATATGTACACAGGTAGTAAGACGTGCAAAAAGGCACAGCTATTTGGAAGACAGTGAGGTGAGCATGTGAGGGAGGAGCTAAGGAAGTAATTGCTGAAAGGGAAGGGAGCAAGGTTGGGGCTGGCTAGTTAGTCCCTATTCAGATCTGTTGCAAGAAAATGTTTTATGGTGAAATGTAAAGTTGTATCTGCCTTATAGGAGGTTAAGAAGGTAGATCACTCATTCATGGCATCAAACCTAGAAGGGAATGTGCCATGGAATGAGCAGCGACTGCATTTCAACAGATACTTAAGTGTTTTTGAAAGACAAGATTTTAAGGTGTAGCACTGTGAGTTAAAATTGAAAATATATTGTCTAAGCTTGGCTATCAACTTTTATAGCTCATGCCACTTGAGTCTCTGTGGGTATATCTGTGAAACAGCTGGAAGGGCACTTCTCAGTGTGGGTAGGCAGGTGTACTAGCTCTGTTTGGCAGAGGTGGCATGGGTAGTGGCTTGGGCTAGCCATCCAGATACAATCCCACTTGATCCCCACAGGGTATGTACTCACCTGGACTGCTTGAGCTGCTGCCTGGCTGCCGTGACCACACTGTTATTCTTAGCATGCCAGGTGAAGCTGAACTAATGCTTGTCTGTCTATACTGTGAAGCTGCTGTTTAGACATATCCTTTGAACCTCATCGTAATAAATAAATTCACCTACACAATACCAATACAAGGCTGGGATGTACAGCTTGTAGCAAAATAGTTGAAAAATTCCACTGCCATTTTAAAATCAATGCGACTCTTTTAAATTGTTTTTCAGAAAATGTCTATTTGAACTTTTTGACAACATTTTTTGATCATCAGAAGATGTCAATCCCTTTGGGCAAAAAACCTGTAGGAAAAGAAGGATATTTTTCCAGGGGGAGCACCATAGGTTCTGTCTGATATCAAATTTTCAATGAAAACATCAAAAATCAATCTGGAAAAATTTAACCAGCTCTGTGTACCAGATTTCACTTGAGAGACCACTTTTCAGTTGAATTAGACTGTTTGTTGGGGGTGGGCAATTTGTAGCCCATCAAGGTAATCTGCTGGCAGGTTGAGAGACACATGTTGCTGAAGTTGACAGACCGCAGGGATGACTCCACCCAGCTCCCATTGGCCATAGTTCAACTATTCCCGGACACAAGTTGCCCACCACTGCTTGTCTGCTATGCAGCTTTGTCAAGGTGACTCCGGATCCATATACCCTCACCTAAGAGAAAGTGCATTCAGCTGCGAGCCAGGAGATTTGGACTCACTTCTGCTGCTAGCTGTCTTTCTTTCTGTGTATTTCAGGCCTTGACTCCCTCAGATAACTGTGAAGTATCACTTCACAAATAAAGTAACAAAGACGTTGTGCAGCATTACCCCAAGAAAAGCTGAGAATAGAGCCCAAGTCTATTATATGCCAGACCCGGTTCTTATCCACTCAGCATGAAATGCTGAATATGTACTTCTGAATCAGTCTGAATAAGGCAACACCTCCCCCTTGTGCAACTCTGTTGATTTCAGTGGAGTTACACCAGATATTTTTGGCCCAATGCCTTTGATTCTAACAATGAATATTCCCCATTCAGAACTGGGTAATGCTGGGTCAGACTCTGACTACCACACCATGAATAAAGGTGCCACTACAAAGATTAGCATGAATTGTATTTTCATTTGTCTGATGCTTAGTCTCCTTTGTAGTACATATAGGGTGCGTAGACTGGCAAGGTTTTGCGCAAAGTGCCTGCTTTTGCGCAAAATCTTGCCAACTGTCTACACTGGCTGCTTGAATTTACGCAAGAGCACTGACTTTGTATTGTACAA